TTGCCAGGTACTGTGCAAGGTGTCTGTCTCAGTTAACTAAGCCAGAAATAATGTATGGATGAAAAAGGTGGCCAAAGCCACCTGTCTGACTATAAGTTATGAAGATGAAGCTGAATGCAAAGCCCCCATCTTGCCAGTTGAGTGCCTGTCCTGTCCTTCTTCCCTGGTTATGGGGCCATTTTTGGCTCTGTTTCTGGACACAACTCATTTCACATTCTTCTACCTAGTTGGAAGTAAAATTCCTTTAATTTTAGGCTATTTCCCATTTACTTAATTTTAATATATTCTCCCTAATCGAAAAGAAGATTCAATTCATGAGATTTATTGGAGAAAGGGAAAAATGGAAAGCAGCAAATACATGCTCTTCTTATAAAGCCTACCCCCTTCTGGCCAGTGAATCCATGAGCATAGGCGCTGCACAACCACTGCACCCCAGTTCTAGTGTAGCACCCCACAAAGCATGCTGCATGTGCCCAGTAAATATTTGTGGAATAAATCAATGGCAGTTGTGTAGATTTCAATATAAATGGATCTTGGACCTGAGATACTGCCAGATGGGCAGACAGGTTATGGTCTGTTGATGCATCTCCAAAGCTATAAAAATGTAGCCATTGTTTGAGTTGCAGGCTGACATTTGGGAAGATGATTATATGCACAATTTAACCACATAGCCATTTGTGCCCTCCAAGTGCCATCACTTCAACAACTGTGTTCATGCTGGCTTTCTTGCTCATACCTTTTTTTTTCCTAAGTCAAGCACATTTTTTCAGCCTCTCATATTTCTAGCCAAATGTGATTTATTTATATGAAATTATGCTCCATTTTTATAAACCCCAAGCTACTGCAAATGATGCTTGAGATTTCACAGAAAATATTAATTCCCGATCTGCTGCTAAGAAGCATGCGTACTCGCCATGCAGCAGCTCTGTTGGCCTGAGACAGATGGAAGCAGTACCAGGGAATGATTAACTTCTGAGTTCTGGCAATTTCCTCATGCTCCTCTGGCCCCAGATTTCAAGATTGACCTCCAGCTTCTCTGCAAATGCACAGTTGCTCAGCATGATAAATCACAAGAATATCCTTTTTCTGATCAGAGCTATCTACTATTTACTACTTAGGAAGGGAAGTTAATCATATTCAAGACACTTCATATGCTGCACACATATCCTTGCTTCTTCCTAAGAGCACTTTGCATATTTTCCACATTACTGGAGATGCAGTAGCTTTGGTAGTGCAGAGTCCACACTAAAGATCCACCTTTATAAATGAACCTCATGCCCATTTATTCCTCTTTCCTCCCAGTTCTCCCTACCCACATTCAATACAATGTCCCATAAGAAGAAAAGATACTTGAGGATTGCATCAGTAAGAAGAACAGGGTCACTTTGCAAACAGATGTTTCCATCAATAATTTTGCCACCTTTCCCTGCTCTGGTCACCTGCTGTTTTTATCACTTGGGGTCATCAGTGGACTTCTGCTAGCCCAGCTGATTCTCAAAGGTATATGAAGACAGGAGTAGAACAGGATATCCCACCCTCATATAACTGCGTGGGTGGCCTAGGTTAGTCAGGATGAAAGTCTAAGTTCCCACTTCATCTTGCTGTGGTGATCCAGTTTTGACCTGCAGTGTTCTGTGGATCTATTGACTGAAATAAATTAAGTTCATTGCTCAGGTGAAACCAAAAAAGGCAAAAGGTTTTCCTAGGAGGTGACCATAGATTTTTAAAAAATTAAGTAATGGAAATATCATAGTTTTAAGTTTTCAAGATTGTGCATTGATTATAAGACTTCTGAAATCTAAAAAAAAAAAAAAGACTTCTGTCTGGTGATCATTAGGCACTAAATTATAGGTGAAAGTTAAAAGCTCTGGTGTGCCACTGCACGGTAAGGTGACTACAGAAAACAGTAATGTACTGGATACTTCAAAAAGCTAGAAGAAAGTATTTTGAATGTTTTCAGTGTAAAGAAATGATAAAGGTTTGAGGTGACAGATATGTTTAACTTGACTGAAGTATCACATGATATTAACATATCACATGGTACCCATAAATATTTTATATACCAGTTAAGTTTAATTTTAAAAAGGCATACTGTCTGAACTGCCAGATAGTAGATTTACACTAGAATACCTATTTAGAAAACCAGCCAGGAAACTCTGGAGACATGAAAAGATAGACAAGTTGACCTTTGGAAGATAATATAGACATTTTCTACCCTCCAACACCCCAGAAGGATAAGGTTCCTACTTGCCCTGAGGTAGGGAAGGGGAAATAAATATAGTAGTTGACCTCCTTGGATCAGGTTTCAAGGCTGTGAGGGCAGGCTTTCTTATAGGAAAATCATAAGCAACCAGCATCCTACAATGTAAATCCACACTCTTATACAAACCCTGCCAACAAGATCCCATTTCATCATTAAGCTATATACCTTGAAACACAATGGCACTACCTTTGTATCAACACCCTTGTTTGACAGGGTATTCAAGGCTGAGGGTAAATGGACATGAAATGGGCCCATGGAGGAACAAACATGTATGATGCTGAGGTTTGGAAGAAGGATGAGGACCCTGTGGTGGCACAGCTATAGCCAATGGTGGACTTCTCTGTCCAATTCCAGAATTGCAGAACTCAGGAAATACATTTTGAGATCTGAAAAGTGGTTTTTTTTCTGGGACAAAAATGAATGCCTAATCATTATGGAATTTTATAGAAAGAGGTGATAATAGGGTACAAACGAAAAATAGCTTAGGAAACCAGAAGTTTGTGTAAATGAGTATTTAACAGATTAATTCCAGGCTCTAAGCAGCCAGAGATATGCATGGAAGACCATGGCCTTGGGGGATTCTTACTCATTTCCATTCCTACCCTGTCTGTTCTAACAGACAGAGCAACAGGCAGGCCACACAGTGCTCTGACCCCAAGTCACACTAATCATTTCTCTGGAAAATATTGGTTTATTCAAAAGAATAAGTAATATGGTAGAAGAAAATCTGCCACTTGACAAGTTTGTATTCTCTAATTATAAAAACTAGAAAATATGAATGAAATTAATTCAGTAGGTGTTTTAAAGTGCTTATTTTGAAGAATTTTGAACTGTTATCTCCAAATGATTTCAAATGCTATCACTTGTAGAAATTACTTCCATGGTCCTGAATTAGCAAACACAGAATAGAAAAAGCACAGAGCAGGTACTTTCACACAACTGCATAACTACAACAGTGAATAAACTTAATTCATCACTTTGAAATGAGCCAAGCTCCCCCAATTTTGGACAGAAAAACTGTCCAAAAATGCCCTATTACATTTGAAGAAAGAGAAATTTGTAAGAACAGTAGTGACAATGGGAACCTCTGTCTCTGGACAAGAGGTTTTAGTGAAACTACCATAAAAGAGCCAAGGGGAACAGTGTGGCTCACCATTAAAACACATGCACATTTTCTTCCCGGGGCTAAGTCATGTATCACTTGGAAGGAAGTTCTCGAATGTATTAGTCCTAGTTTCTGATGAATTGTTTTTGTGTTGTAACCATGTCTTTAAAGGGAGGCCATATTTTCTTAAAATAGGTTTTGGTTTATTCAACCAAAGGTCATCATGACATTTTGAGTGTATACATATATAGCTTTACCAAAATATAATTTATATACTGTAAAGTTCACCCATGTAAGGGGTACAATTCAGTGGTTTTTAGCATATTAGTGGGTTGGGAAAACATCACCATGATCTAACGTTACAACATTTTCATTGCCCCCAACAGAAACCTTGTATTTGTTATTAATGACAAAGTACAGTAAGTGTAGGGCGTCCCTTGCTCCCCTATGCATTTGCTTCTCTTACAAAGAGAAGTTGAAGGGAAAAAAAAAAAGAAATATGTCTAGGGTAAGAATTATTGTGTCACATTTTAAATAAGTTTTGATACAGAGCCTCTCCTCCTACCAACAGACTCAGAAGTAGCACAGTTATCAGCCTTTTGAAAAATCCCAGAATTAATTCCAGATCACGTGTCAGCCACTCTTACAACTCACAGCCTTGTGTGGTTGCCATGAGGAAAGCTTTTCAACTGAAATAAATATACTTGGGTTTAACCTGCCATCATAGAGGAAATGCTTTTCACCCATGTGCACTAGATAATTCACCTAAGTGACAAGTTTTACCTTGGAGAAGCACTGAGCTGAGCTGGTTTACATAGTCAGTTATTGCTCATTTCACAAAAAATGGAACTTGGAAGTAGGAGAGGGGCCTAAGGCTGGTGGCTGATGCTGATGTCCACAGTCAGCTGAGGAACATACACTGAGTGTCTAACACTGTCAGTGTTCTTCAAAATGCACACACTCCAAACTTAGGAAGTGACAAAACAAAGGCCAAACCCCCTCAAAGGATATGCTCTATTCTATTCTAAAAAGCAACTTTCTATATTCCTGTTCAGCAATCTTTCTCCAGGCTTTGAGGCAAGGTGGGATGTGAATTACAGCTGGTGTTTTGATTAGGTTTATGTATCTCATTCAATAATTCAGGCCAGCAGAAACAAGGCAAGGAAGGGAGTAAGAATTCAGGTGCCAGGACAATGAGTTATTGGGCTACCTGATAAAGTTCTTCGTGAGAGAATCTCATCAAAAGATACACCACTTCTGGGGAAATGGAACAGAAACTGAAGAAAACATCTCAAAATAAATGAAGTACTTATTGCTGAAAAACAAGCTTGGTTCTCTAACAATTCCAAAGTTCAGAATTTACTGTGCCATTCAGGCACATTCCCCTAAGAGTCTTGTCTCTTGTTTCATGGCACAATGTGGGATTCTTCATACTTTATGTGAAATACAACAAGGCGATTTTTGCAATAATAAACTCCACACATGCATGACAAATCCAAGCATGCAAAATGTTTAACATCCCAGTTCACAGATACTTTAGGGACAAAATCTGATTATGAATTATATGCCACAATAAATAGGGCTCAATGTTTCATAAAGCAATTTATAGTTCATAAAAATGACAAAATGTACCTGTCAGATAGAGCGTGGAGAGCCGTTCTCTGGGCTGCCTGCTGGAAGAAAGGGCAGAGATGTTTATTTAATATTCTGACTTTTAAATTATGTGCTCAATCAACACTTAAAAAAACCCATGTTATACACATTTTTGTCATGTGGCCAAATTTTAAACTGTTAGCAACATCATAGAGAGCCCTGTCATGTTGCGAAAGGAACACTCTGTGAGTTAATTGTGTGCCAAGCAATGTGCACCTGCCACCAGGGGACAAGTGTGGTGAGGCAACAAGTACCCCACCCTTGGGCAGGTCTAAGAAAATAGGGCAAAGGCTAGACCTATTTTGTTTCTACACCCTGAAATCATTTTTCCCATAGCTTTATTCACTTTTCCTCTAAGGGGAAAAAAATCTGTTTTGGTTCTTTTGTAGCATCTTTCCCAATGAAGATGTAATTTTTTTTTGCTTATTTTTTTCAGATTTATTGAGAAAAGTCTCCACAGTTGGAAAATGGAACACTGACTGGAACTCTGATATTATGAGATTATTGATTTTTTTAGGTACAGTAATGACAATGTTTTTGCAAGAGCTTTTCAGAGATCCATACTGAAATGTTTATGGATATTACATGGTGCTGAGATTTACTTTAAAACGAGTAAATTGGAGGATGGGAGAGAGGACGGGCATATTCATGATTTGGGCACACTTATGAGGAACATGAAAAGATTAAGGTGGGGTGGGGTCAGGAAAGAGCAGGTGTTAGTGGTAATTAGTGGCGGGGTGGGACCTGCAGATCCTCAACAGTGCTTGGAACTGTTAGCAGGTGCTAGTAAACATCTACTGTGCAAATGTTAAATAAATGAGTCCATCAAGGAATCCTTCCCACTGAAATCAGAGCAGAATTTTAAAGACAAGGAGGGATGTGGTGAGAAGAAAGGGACACTGGTATACTGGGCTAGACTGTAAAGCAGCAGCCTGCTCAGCTTCTAGCAGTGGTTTTCTACTGAAGCACCTCTCATCCCCAACTGAGGCATGTGTGGAATTGAGTGTGGGTGTCTCTTCATATTATATTCAAGAGGGGCTCACTATTGGCATTTAATGCTTGAGACCAGAGAGACAAAAGCCCTTTAAAGAGCAGGAAGGTCCTTTGTACGCTGAGGAACTGATCCCGTAAAATAACAAGTGTGTGCGTGGGAGGTGCTGCAAACAAACACTGCAGTAAAATAGGAATACAAGGCAGAGCTGAGAGAAGGGGCACAGGGAACATGAGCTTTGGGGCTTGGCAAAAGGAACTGAGAAGAAATTAAGAGGAACTTAGCTCATTTCCACAAGTGGCACAACTATGTCAATTTAGGAAAAACCATCAAATATGCGAAGTAGGAATTGAGAGTCTTATATCCTATGTCAGGTTCACCATTGATTTATGATAGATTGGAATGTGGCCCTCCATTAAAATCTCAGTTTCCAACCTGTCCTTCCTTTCTCTGGACGGAATGTGGAAGGAGCGAGACAGCCAATATCCAGGATGTGGAATGGGTTGCTGCCCCTTTCCTGTTTTCTGAATCCCAGTGAATTAATGCCCCAGTGTACTGTCATGGAATGTCACAGAATTACTTCAAGAGAGGAAGGAGTCATCTGTAGATCTCGAGGAGGGCACTTGAGGCAGAGGGGAGCAGAAGCCAGCTCATTTGTCTCTGAGGATGGTAATCCCCCTCTCTGACTCCTTGCCTGAGCTCTCTCTTTGAGAGCCAGCACAGGAGCTGCTCACTGAAAGCACCCAGCAAGTAATAGCTGCCCATCTTTGTTCACAGGTTTATCCCCTAAAGGGTTCTCTTCTCACTCAGAAAGACTGCTTTAATTTAGCCAGGGATACTTGAAAAGAACTTAACTCTCTACTTCTGATTCTGGCTGAATACCCAAGAGGTATTTTGAACTTCACTGAAGAAAGGTGGAATGTATTATTAGTATGGTCTCTTAATGTTGCCTCAGCAGGAGGTATGGAAGGTAGATTCTTCCTGAAATAACAGAAACCATAAGAGATATGACTAAAAGTTAGATCTGAATTTTCCCTTAGCTATGGAAGTAGACCAGGGCTGGCAAAGTCTACTGACTCTTTTCCCCCTTACCTCCAAATACTTGTCCTGCTGACATTTATGATAGGGAACCAGTGCATGTTGATGTGTAAGTTGGCTAGAAAATGACTTTGAAAGCAAAAGCAAACTCAAAGAGCAAGAAACTCTGCTGCTCGCCCACCACTGAGGTATCTTTATCTATAATCGATGAGTCCCAGGTGGTGGCATCTGCTGAGAACAACTCAGAATTAGGTTGGCCTTGCAAGTCTAATATAAGCTGGCTCGGCTGGCTTTCCTTTAGCAGACTCATGTGGTGCTGGGACCAGAAGGGCCATCTGGGCTTCGAGACAGGTACCCACCAGCCACCAAGCAATGTCTTTTTGTGATTTTTCACTCTTAAAGTCTGTCTACAGGATGTATGTTATTACATTCAAAACCATGGTACTCAGCACCATCAAATGCCTGCACCACTATCTTTTAATGTCTGATTTTGACTATGCAGTTATCCTACATCATTAAAAACTTAACAGAGGACAACTCATCATCCATTGAGAAAAGAGATAAGAATATACTAAATGTTTTAAATAATTTCTTGAGAAAAATAAAGCTTATGACACTAATATACAAAAGCAAAGCAAAGACCACCCAAGAGGTTTTCTTTTTCTGCCTCCTCTCTTTAAAAGAAATAAAAAACAAACAAAAAAAACCCTTGGCTTTTGCATGCTATTTTAGTTTACAGTTGGAAAATAATAAAAGAAATAAATATTGGAATTAAATAGCCAAGAAAAATATTACTTAGGTGACTCATGATTGAAGCCTGAAAAACTCACTGTAAACTAGATGAATTGCCCAATTTCATCCCTTCAAAAGTCATGTTATAGCAACCATATTTTTCTCTTTCTAAATCTGTCATCATCTCTTCCTTGTAACTTTCCTTTTATTTAGTTCTCACCAAAATTGGTTTAGAGGGTTAAGAGAATGCTACATTGATTTTTCCTGAGTTCATTACTCATTCATGAATGACTCTGAAGCTCACTTCTATGAGACAAAAAAAGTTTTCTGCCAGAAATAATCATTTTCCAGGTTCTCCTCAAGAGATGGCATTTTTTTCTGTTTTTATGATAACAAGCTTGGAGCCTGGGAACAAATCAGTAGATATTCAGGTTCTAATGTATGCTAAATGAATTATAAGTCACAATCTGTTATTAAAGGGAAATCAAAGAGGAAATTAAATGCCCTTATTGTAATTGGGTAGAGCAAGAATAAGTTCATGGGCACTGGAGTAGAGAGTAAAACAAAAGGGAGGGGCTGAAATTCATAGGTAGCCCAGAGTGATCCAACCTCTTACTTTTTTTTTTTTTCATTTTTCTTTTATTATTCATATGTGCATACAAGGCTTGGTTCATTTCTCCCCCCTGTCCCCACCCCCTCCCTTACCACCCACTCCGCCCCCTCCCTCTCGCCCCCCCAATACCCAGCAGAAACTATTTTGCCCTTATTTCTAATTTTGTTGTAGAGAGAGTATAAGCAATAATAGGAAGGAACAAGGGTTTTTGCTGGTTGAGATAAGGATAGCTATACAGGGCATTGATCACATTGATTTCCTGTGCGTGGGTAGTTACCTTTCTAGGTTAATTCTTTTTGATCTAACCTTTTCTGTAGTTCCTGGTTCCCCTTTTCCTATTGGCCTCAGTTGCTTTAAGGTATCTGCTTTAGTTCTCTGCGTTAAGGCAAACAAATGCTAGCTAGTTTTTTTAGGTGTCTTACCTATCCTCACCCCTCCTTGTGTGCTCTCGCTTTTATCATGTGCTCATAGTCCAATCCCCTGTGTTGTGTTTGCCCTTGATCTATGTCCACATATGAGGGAGAACATACGATTTTGGTTTTTTGAGCCAGGCTAACCTCACTCAGAATGATGTTTCTCCAATTCCATCCATTTACCAGCGAATGATAACATTTCGTTCTTCTTCATGGCTGCATAAATTCCATTGTGTATAGATAAAATTTTCTATCCATTCGTCAGTGGCTGGAGCACTTGGCTGTTTCCATAATTATTTTGTGAATAGTAAGCATAAACGAATAGAGATGCCATGTCCTCTGGAGTAAACAGTCCGTTTTGGGTCTGATCCCAAGAGTGGTATTTGCTGGATCAAATGCGTAGATTGATGTCCAGCCTTTTTAAGTAGCCTCCAAATTTTTTCCAGAGTGGGTTGTACTAGTCTACATTCCCACCAACAGTGTAAGAGGGTTCCTTTTTCCCCGCATCCTCGCCAACACCTGTTGTTGGTGGTGTTGCTGATGATGGCTATTCTAACACCAACCTCTTACTTGATGGAAGCAGAACTAACACCTAGACAGACATAGTTATGTCATTTAATCTGACTTACTGTGTGCAGGCATGGGGTTTTGCTTAAGGGAGAATCAAAACAGACAAAACCCTGCTATATCACACTTAGAGTCTAGAAGTAGGGTAGATATGATAAATTCCACACACAAAAACCAGTTCAGATTACAATGGCTATGGCTGAAGAGAATAGGCTGCTATGACACTGAATAATGAAGGCACAAATGGTCAAGGAAAGCTAATTATGTAAGGAAGAATAAAGCTTAGGCCTGAAGGATAAAGGAGAGTTACTGGATCAGAGAGATGGGGTTGCATGAGAAAACAAGGGCTCTGGGCAGGGAAAATGTCTAGGAGCAAAAGCTGCAAACAGGATTAGATTCTGGCTCAGTGGTAGTGCAGACGAGTGAGCCATAGGGACAGTAGCAGAACAAGTTGAGGCAAGATGAAGGGCTTTGGAGGTCAAGTAGAGGACTGTGGAGATTATCCACAGGACAATAGGAAGTCATTGAAGGGTTCATGTTACAGGAACCTGGGCAAAGCATGCTTGTACAGTCTATGCAACTTCCTGAGTCTACATTTATGAGATTGTCATCTTTGGTTCGGCAGGTGAATATGAGGATTAGTCATTTCCCAGTTTGTGAGTTTGC